TGTACTTGTAAATGGTACCACTTTCTTATTTTTTTCCCTGTCTCAATGCTTGGTTTGCTCAGATTTTATTCAGGATTTTTCCATCTGTCTTCATTAGGTAGATTGTTCTGTAATGTATGTGTGTGTGTTGCCTTTGGTTTTGGTATTATAGTAATGTTGGCCCCATACGAAGCATTTGGAAGTACTCCTTCATTTTCAATTTTTTGGTAGAGTTTGAGTAGATAGGCATTAGTTCATCTTTGAAGATTCACATGTGAAACCATATGGTCCTGGGCCCTTGTGGTTTGTTATTGTTCAGCTTCCTTGCTTATGATTCATTTGTTCAGGGTTTCTATTTCTTACCTATTCAGATTGTTTAATTCTAAGAGTTTGTCCATCTCTTTAATGTTAATGAATTTGTTAGCATATAGATGTTCATAGTAGTCTCTAATTATCCTCTGCATTTCTGAAGCTTTGCTCTGAATTCTCCACTTTCATTTTTTATTCTATTTATTTGAGATTTTTCCATAATTTTGTTGGTGAGCCTCCCCAGAGTTTTGTGTATTTTGTTTATTTTTTCAAAGAAGTAGCTTTTTTTTTTTCATTGATCTCTTGGACTGTCTTTTATTTCAGTTACTTCTGCTTTTAATTTTATTGTTTCTGTTATTCTCCTGACTTTTAGATTTGTTTGTTGTTCTTTTTCCAATTCCTCCAGTTAAGATAGATATTTGTTGAGCTTCTTGTTTCTTGATATGGGTTGGTATTGCTATATATGTCCCTTTTAGTTCTGCTTTTGCTGTGTCCCATAAGATTTTTGATGGTTGTGTGCTTGTTTTCATTTGTCTTGAGATATTTTTAAATTTCTTCTTTGATTTCCTCATCAACCTAGCAATCTTTTAGTAGTGTGTTGTTCAGTCTTTTATTGATTTATATTTGATAGCTATATAATCTGAGAATATGCTACATATGATTTTCATGAAATCTTCATGAAATCATCAGTATTTTTTAATGTTTCATTATGTGGTCTATCTGGTGAATGTCCCATGTGTGCTTGAGAAAAATGTATATTCTGTTTTGGGGGGGTGCAGTGCCCTGCCCATATCTATGAGGTCCAAGAGATCTAATTCTCTAAGGTTATTGTACCCCTGTTTATTTTCTGTCTGGTTGATCTGCCCATTGGTGAGAATGAAGTGTTGATAGTAGTTGCCTAATGTATTTAGGAGCACCTATATTTGTTTATGTTATTTAATTTTAATTTTTTTTATTTTATGTGTATTTTATATCATTCTTCCTTTTTATATAATGTATGTTTTATCCTCTCAGGTGTAGTCCCCATAGAATTCCCACCACCAATTCACCCATGCACCACCACCATAGTTCCTTGTGCTCATCCCTCACCTGTTTTGATCCCTCTTGCACTCCCCTGCGGAATGTCTGTGATATATAGTTGCCAGTTAATTTTGTTTTTAATTTACTATAATTATTTTTTTCTTGATCCCTTATTTGGTTCCCCTACTTTCCTCCTATAAGTGAAACCATTTGATATTGTTCTTTTTCTTTCTGGCTTATTTCACTGAGCATAATCCCTTCCAGCTCCATCGATGTTGCTGCAAATGGCATGAGTTTATCTTTTTTGATTGCTGAGTAATATTCCATTGTGTACATATACCACATCTTCTTGATCCAGTAATCTATTTTTGGGCATTTGGGTTGTTTCCCTATCTTATCTACTGTAAATAGTGCTGCAGTAAACAAACAGGTACAGGTATCCTTTTGAATAAATGTTTTTGTGTCCTTTGGGTATATTCCTAGGAATGGAATTGCTGGGTCATATGAAGCAACAATTTTAGTAGTCCAAGGAAACTCCATACAGCCTTCCATAGTGGTTGGAGCAGTTTGCATTCCCACCAGCAGCGTAGGAGAGTTCCTTTTTCTCCACATCCTTGCCCACATTTGTTGTTGCCTGTTTTATATATATATATATATATACATGCCATTCTTACTGGTGTAAGGTGGTATCTCATTGTTGTTTTTATTTGCATTTCCCTGATTATAAGAGATATTGAACATGTTTTCATATTTGGCCATTTGCATTTCCTCCTTGGAGAAGTGGTTTTTAGCACTTCTGCCCATTTATTATCTGGATTGATTACTTTGTATTTTGTTGAGTCAAGTAAGCTCTTTGTAGATCTTTGTGATCAGTTCCTTATCAGTAGTAATGTGTGCAAATTTTTTTCCCGATCAGTGGGGTGTCTCTTTGTTTTGCTTAATGTCTTTTTTGCTGTACAGAAGCTTTTTAGTTTGATGTAGTCCCAGCTATTCATCTTTTCCTTCATTTTCTTTGCTTTGGGGGATGTGTCTTTAAAAATATTACTTGAGTTGTATGTCATGTATTGTTTTGCCTATATTGTCTTCTATATATTTTATGGTTTCAGATCTCTTTTAAAAAAGATTTATTTATTTATGTATACAAGAACCAGGGTACAGGCCAGAGGTGTGTGTGGGGGGCGGTGAGAGGATTCGGATTCACCAGAGAGAGAGTGGGGGACAGAACAGCAGATCGACTGAAATACACTACTGAGGAGAGCAGCAGGCGAGTCAGGAGAGGTCTGCTGCACCATGTGGGTATCTCCCAGGCCGGGGATCAAACTCGTGCTGCAGTGGCTGCGGATAGCTTCATAGGTCGTGTCTTAACCCCTTGTGCCACCAGGGAGGCCCTGGATTCAGGTCTTTTGTCCAATTCTTTTATCCATTTTGAGTTGGTTTTTGTGCTTGGTGTGAGGTAGTATTCTAGTTTTATCATCCAATAGCATCAATTCTGTTATATCTTCAGGAACCAATTCAATTCTGGTTCTCTTGCTATTTCTACTACATCTTCAATTCCTCCACTGAAGTACTGAACTCAAAGTCATCCATGAAGGTTGATTGTAACTTTTTGCAAACTCCTGTTAATGTTGATAGTTTGACTTCCTCCCACAAATTATGAATATACTTAATGACATCTAAAATGATGAATATTTTCCAGAAGGTTTTCAATTTTTTTTGTTCAGTCCATCAAGCACTATAGTCCATGTAAGCACTATCTATGATAACTGTAGAGACTTAGAGAATATATCCCTTAAATAATCACATTTTAAAGTCAAAATTACTCTGATTCATGGGTTGCAGATTGGATGTTATGTTAGGGATCTGAAAAAATCTAGTACATATCAATCAAAACTGTTGCAGACCAGGTGCATAGTCAATGAGTAGTACTATCCAACCACTATGGAAAGCTGTGTGGAGGTTCCTCAGTCTACTAAAAATGGAGCTACCATATGACCCAGCAATTCCACTCCTATGGATCTACCCAAAGGACACAAAAACATTAATTCAAAAGAATACCTGCTCCCCTATGTTTATTGCAGCACTACTTATAATAGGTAAAACCTGGAAGCAACCCAAATGCCCAAAAATAGATGACTGGATCAAGAATATGTGGTATATATACACAATGGAATATTACTGAGCAATTAAAAAAGATAAACTAATGTCATTTGCAGTAACATGGATGGAGCTGGAAGGGATTATACTAAGTGAAATAAGTCAGAGAGAAAAAAGAAAAATATCAGATGGTTTCACTTATAGGAGGAATATAGGTAAACCATATAAGAGATCAAGGAAAAAATAAAAATAAAAAACAACAAAACAAAAATAAACAGACAACTATAAATCAGAGACATTCTACAGGGGAGGGGGAGAGAAAGGGATGAAAATGAGGGTGTTAAAAGCACAACGGACTATGGTGATGGTGCATGTGTGAATTGGTGGTGTAAATTCTATTGGGATTAGGACTATGGTGATGGTGCACTGGTGAGTTGGTGGCAGAAACTCTATTGGGATTACACCTGAGAAAAGAAAGCAAACATTGTAAAAAATAAATAATAAATGAGCAGTACTATTTTGATACTGATAAACTTTCAGACTGTTGTCTTTGTACCTGTTGAAGTTATCAGAAAACTGGTACCAGCAAGGAGTCATAGGTAAAAAAAGAGGACTGAGACAGTAGGGTGCTAAAGGATCACCTCCAGCGAGTGTCAGGGCTTTAAACTTCCCACTTTGCTTTTGGTTGTTTGGTGGGTATCTATAGTGATCCCGTCTTTTATATCAGCACCATGATCTTAGTGTCTCTTCCATTCTAGGTTAGTTCTGAATACTAGATGTAATGTTGGGACATGGATTGTAGGTGTTATGAGGTCACAGGCCAAGAGTTGTTCTTTCTTTTCAACACAGAGTCATATCTTGGGATGTTTGCTCCTATAATTACTAGGTGCTTAAATTCTAGTTTATGCTAGTGTTCATTTATTATTTTGCTTTTAGCCCTGGACTAGTGTTGGCAGTTGTTTTGAATATCCGAATTTCATATTAGCCTCATGTATGAGGACACAGAGGTGTTCTGACCTGTTTCTTCTTGGTGTTCAAGGTCCCAGCTGTTCTATATGGAGAGCCTCAGGATTATGATAGTAATTTTTGCTCTACCCCTCCAACCGCTTCAGCATTCCAGCAGTGCACCCTTTGTTCTGGGTGCCAAGTCCCCTGAATCAACAACTTTAGAGGACTCTTCACCACAGCTGCCCCTCCCTTTTATGGATTTAACTACCCTATTATTATAAACAAAGCTTACTTAAAATTTTTCTACCCTTTTCTGCCAGACCATTGCTCTTAGTGTGTGCTGTGGTCATCTACTTTTCTCTCAGGTGTTTTTGGCTTTGTTATGCTGAAATCTAGTTGTTAGTATATCCTTCATATACAGGCAAATCTGGCATCTTCACTCTGCCATCATCTTCCCACACTCTTAAGCAGTAACATTTTGAAAGGAATCATTCTAAGCAGTAGATCTCAACATTGTATTTAAAATATTCAGTACAATCCATGTTGTGAACAGAATATGCTGTCATTCAGACCTTGTTGTTTCATTTATAGATCACAGGCAGAGTAGATTTTATTAGAAGAAAATTTAGAGGGTCCAGCTACTCACTGCTCACTGGCCAAAACTTGAGAGACAAAAGTTGTGGAAAGAAATCAGGTTTAATCAGATATTAGCAAACCTGAGGGCATGGTGGACCACTGCCACAAGGGCCATCTCCCCCAACCTGGAGGAGAAGCAGGAACTTACATGGTGGGGTACTAAGGACAAGGATAGGTTAAGTGGCCTGTATCAGCAGGATTTCAGGACAATCAGCAGGATTTTCCAGGAACTATATTCAGACCAGCTCCTTCTTCAAAATTTTGTCTTTACCAGTTTGCCCATGGAGCTGGTAGGTATGCTTTTGCTATAGTAATGAAGTTCTGGCTTAACCCTTGTTTTATTTCTACTTCCATCTTGGTTTCAGCTGATTTTTTCCTGGTTTTCTGGTTTTGTCTGCAAGAAAAGAAAAAGGACCGAGCAAGGACAAACAGGGCAAGAAACTATGGTTAGCAGGCTAGTTTCAATTCTCTCCTTTCTCTGTATCCTCTCCTCATTCTTGAGGGGTAATAAATGGAGGCTTGTCTTCTGGAACCACTTCCTGAAGAATAGGGGCAGAAATTTCGGGGGCAAATAGGGGAGCAGAATTTTTACTTACCTCACTTGAACTGTGACTAGTTATCACAGTTTTGTAATTCCAATTGTTTACACCCTTGAGTTAAAATTATTGGAAGTTTTAATGTCTCCAGCCTTTTGGAGATAAAGAGAACTATAAGCAGTTCAGGAGACAAGGACCAAAGATCAAATTAAATAAGTATATTATTGCAATACTTACCATGGGTCTGAATTAGTCTCATTCATCTAAACCAACTAGAAAATACTTTGTCTATAAATGAGTCCAGGCTCAGGATTCAGATTTTATAAGATATCCCACTTTTGGGTAGCCCCCTCTTTCTCTGTATTTTCTGTTCCCTGTCAGCCTTAGAGCTCAGCTCAAGATTGTTGAATATGCAAGTACAAGCTTCAAAGAGAAAGTAAAGTAAGTTTTTTTTTTTTTAACTTAAAGTTACCAACTGCAGCAGCACTTAACAAGAGTGTCAGCCTAATTGTTGAAACTTTGAAACCAGACTTTGACTTCTCTTCTCCAGCTATAAAAGTCCTATACACTTAAACACTATTGTAAAGGAACGTCATTAAAAAATAAAAGTACTATCAAGATGGTTAAAAAGTAATTATATATTTAGCACAATACCTATCAAATTCCATGAGAATTTCCAAAGAAATAGAACAGTTATAAAATTTATGAGGAACCACAAAAGGCTACAAATACCTAAAGCAACCCTGAGAGAAAGGAAAAAAAAAATGGTGGCATCATACTCCCACACTTCAAATTATATTACACAACAGTAGAATAAAAACAGCTTAGTATTGGAACAAAAACAGTAACACCAACCAAGGGATTAGAATAGAAACCACACAAATATGAACAGATAATATTTAACAAGAGTAATGAGAAAGAAAACCCTCTTTAACAAATGGTTTTGGGATAAATAAATAGCTTCATGCAAATAATTAAAAAGGAAACTAACCATATTTAACTCCATAAACTTAAATTAACTTTGAATGGATTGACGATTTGGTTATAAGAACTGAGACCACAGAATACCTAAAAGAAAACATCAGAGATGCACTATAGGCCATCCATCATAAAGATCTACTTGGGAATGCAATTCCAATGGTTAGGGAAAAAAAAACAAAACTAAACAAGTGGTACTATATCAAACTTACAATGATTTTGTACCTCAAAAAAAAAAGTCACAAAAACAAAACAGCCACTTATAGAATGGGAGAAGATACTTGCACATCACATATCTAACAAGGGACTCCCAGAATATGCAAAGCACATATTCAATTCATCATCATCAACAACAACAACAAAAAAAATGAGACAGCCAATTTAAAAATGGCAAAAGACTTGGACACCTCTTTCAAGAAGACATTCAGATGACCTATTGACACATGAAAAAATCATTCAACATCCTTTATTATAAGGGAAATGCATATTAAAATGACAATGAAATGTTACCTCACCCCTGAGAAAATGACCCATGGAAAAAAATAAATGTTGGCAAGGATGTGGGGAAAAAGGAACACTCATCCACTGTTGGTGGAAATGCAATTTGGTGCAGCCTCCTTGCAAAGACAGTATGGACATTCCTTAAGAAAATAGAAAAGCAAATCCATTGTGATCCAGCTCTTCTAGATATTTCTTCAAAAATATGAAAACTCTAATACAAGAAGACTTATGCACTTTATATTCATAGCACTATTGTTTACCATTCCAAAGTCATGGAAGCAGTCTAACTATCCATTGATGAATAGATGAAGAAAATGAGAAACAGATACTCAATGGAATACCACTCAGTTATTAAAAAGATTAAGTATTTTCTTTTGGTACAAAACAGATAGCTATTGAAGTGTTTATGCAATGTGAAATAAATCAGAAAGTGAAAGATAGATGGTAACACTTACTGTGTTATATAAATAACATAAAAAGCTATGCTGGCAAAATACAGCAAAAAGAAATCTCAGACTTAGTAAAAAATTTACTATTTACCAGCGGCAACAAATAGGAGAAAGGAGGGGTAGGAGATAGGGCTTTGACATGGGAGAGTTGGCAGAAGATAACTGAGGCACATGGACATATGGAAGAGTAAAAAATGTAAACATGAAGTTATAAAGACATAGAAACAACTGATAAATGTAATGAAAAAGAAAACAAGGTCATGAAAAATTAAGGAAGATGTGATCTGGCTTTCAACTGTAGATATTTCTGATTAATGGGATTTATTTTAATTGGGTAAATCAAGGAACCCTAAAGAATATAACTGTATTTAACACTACAGTTTGATATCACCCTCTTATGTGAGGTCCTACTACTATTAATTTTTCTGTAAAGACATTCTTGCTAAAGTCTAAATTGGTGAACTATGCAGATAAGTGTTTACATAAAGGTTCTGAGATTGTTACAAAGCCCTGCTTGCAAGACTGACTCTTCACTGTCATCTAGGACCTTGAATTGTGTGAATTTTCCCAATTCTGAGAATTCCCAAAATTCTCGGAATGCAAGAGTAGTTCTCTGTGCCTAAACTGTTCATTCAATGTGAACACTTGCTTTCTTTCTGTAGGCTGGATTTTGATAAGTGCTAGCAGATGGTACCTACATGCCCAGCCTCTAGCAAAATCCTTTGTCACTGGAGATATTGAATTATGATATGACAGTGTGAGGAACTCCTTGGACCCATTCCACAGTGAAACTGATGAAAATTACTTTAAAACACCAAATACTTAAAATCTCTATAGGGGAGAAAAATCTGCCACCCAAAAATATATCTTTTGGGCAACAGGTTTATTTCACTGGAGGGACTCTAATTACTGGAAGGAGTTTGCCATATTTTAAAATTTTAATTTATTTTCTTACATCTTTGTTAAGTTTTGTATAGTATTTGATTTCTCCCCTCTGGTCAGTTCCTGCAGTTCTCCCACCACCACAGCACCCACGATCTATCACTTTAGTACCTTGTGCTTCCCCCCTCCCCTGATTTGACCTGTCTTCCTCTTCATCCACTGCTGTGTGCCTCAGATCTGTCGTCAGCTTGCAAGTTTTGTCTTTTTTCTTGACACTTTCTTTGGTTTCTCTATATTTTTCATATACATGAAACCATCTGATATTAATATTATTTCGTCTGACTTATTTCACTTAGCATAATCCCTTCCAGCTCCATCCATGTTGTGGCAAATGACATGAGTTTATTTCTTTTGATTGCTGAATAGCATTCCATTGTGTATATATACCATATCTTCTTGATCCATTCACCTGTTTTGGGCCATTTATGTTGTTTCCGTATCTTGGCTATTCTAAATAGAATTTGCCATTTTGAAAGAGACATTTCACTCACAATACCTGAAAGACCTAATCCCCTTCACTCTTTTCAAAGGAGAAGGCAGAACTTAAATTTACATAGCAGTCATGCCTTTATTTATTGTGCCTTTCATGTTTAATAATCTTACTGAGTTTCTGCTCCATCCTCTCCCTCCCCCATCTTTTGTTTTGGCTGAGCTATTTGTTTATTTTTATTTTTTTAAATTATATTTATTGGATTAATATTGGTTTATATCATTGCTTGCATTATGGAAGTGTAGGATCCCTCCCTTCAGGTGTTGTTGCCATAGTGCACCCCCCATCAAAGAACCCTTTGTCCACCACCATAGACCCTTGTGAGCTATCCCCTCTTTGTTCTCATCTCTCCCATTATTCATCTCCCTCTCCCTCTGTGTGCTTCCATTCCACAGTCAGCCTTTAAAGGTCAGTTTTGTTTTTCTATATTCCACATATAAGTTACAGCATCTAGTATTTGTCTTTCTCTTTCTGGCTGATTTTATCTGAGTTATTTAAAATGGTGTCTGAAGCCAAATGGCTTGTTAACTTTGTCTTTTTAGGTAGCTTATTGGGCATACAGGAGGTATTCACAGTAGTACCACACACAAGTTAGAATCTCTATTCCAAGAGCAGAGTAGTAGAAATGTTATCATATGTCTGATACAATAGTCTGATGCTTATTTCAATATTTGCCGGCCTAGAGAAATCAAGAGTTGCACATGATGATTTTCTGTGCACCCTGATGCAACAGATAAAGGAATATATTTTTAAGAAAATCCAGGCCTCCCTGGTGGCGCAGGTGGTTGAGCGCCGCACTGTGAAGCTGTCCGCAGCCTCTGCAGTGCAGGTCCGATTCCGGCCGGCGGCGAGAATCCCACATGGCGAAGCAGACCTCTCCTGTCTCACCTGCTGCTTCCCTCAGCAGTCTATTTCATCAGTCTGCCTGTTCTGTTCCCCACTCTGTCTCTGGTGAATCCTTTCAGCCTCCCGCACATCTGGCCTGTATCCCGGTTCTTGTATAAATAAATAAATCTTAAAAAAAAAAGAAAATCTAAAATTTAGTGAGAAAAAAAAAAACTTGTGGCAATTGAAATGGAAGTGTTCCTTCTCTCTTCTCCCCTACTATAGCTAAGATGGAAACTAATATTTCAGAGACGTGCATCCAAGAACTCAGTATTAACTTTCCCCAAGGTTGCAAGTCTGTCTTCTTTGGAGGAGCAGGATATCAAGTATTTCTTATCTTCTCCTGATCAAGTTGTTGCCTAGTCTAAAGTCCAGGAGAGTGTTACCAAGAGGTGGGGTTCTCTCTTCTTCTTCCTGTTAAAAGAACAATCTAACTCCTAGTGTTTTTACAGACTCCACTTCTATCTCTAGACCAAATATATCCCAGAAACCAAGAATTATAACTGCCAGAATTCCATGAATCTGACTTTCTGATTGAGTGATGTGGCTGCTGAGAAAAAGGGGGCAGAACTCCACGGCCATCCTTGGCTTTCAAGTGCAGACATGCAGTCTA